CTTTCTCCTCATAGTCATGATTACAGCTCAGCATGACTATCTTGTATTGGCTGTCAGAGATATCAGACACAAACTGACTGCTTCCAAAACTGATTGTGGTGATGATTGTATTACTGTTCACATGCTATAAAGCAATGAATTGTAAATTTTAAATTGGCAAATTGTATGGTATGTAAATTATCTCAATAAAGCTGTTTAAAAAGCCAAATATATAGTGAGAAAAACAATTCAGGGAAATGAATACAATGTTAATGTCTAGGATGGAAGAAAATCAGAAATACCAAACGTACAAAGGAAGTTCTCTGAAGCATACATAATTTATGACCTAGTTTTGACTGGAACTGATGTAGGATGTAAAACACTCCTTCAACATTAACAGTCAACTGAAATAGCAGACACCTTTAAGAAGAGAACTCTGTAGGTACAAGGCATTCAAATCTAACACCAGCATGAACAGGACAGGTGGTGAATGGCACTAAAAGGGACTATAACCTTAGAATAAGACGGAAAAGGTGACAAGTTTTCTCGGCACAGAGAATTACAAGGATTAGGAAAACAGCAGAGAAAATGGAATCACTGAGGAACCAGGGGTGGGGTGAGTAGGGAAGCTAAGAAGCCTGACGAATGCACAGTTGAGATCAGATGAGGACACAATATACAAGGCGAGGTTGGATGTTAGGAAGGGAAATCAGTATTTCTTTCTTTCTTTTTTTTTTTTTTATTAAGCTAGAGTCTCACTTTGTCACCCTTGGTAAAGTTCCGTGGCATCACAGCTCACAGCAACCTTGAACTCTTGGGCTTAAGCAATTCTCTTGCCTTAGCCTCCCAAGTAGCTGGGACTACAGGTGCCCGCCACAATGCCCTCTATTTCTTAATAGGGCAGAAAACTGCAATAGTGAGAAGACAGTGATTAATACCTCTCTCTGTGGACCAAGGCCTGGAAGATGGAATTTCATAGCCAGGAAAGTGGAATGAATAGGCAGAGACACTGTCACAGGATATAAAGGGGAAGATTATAGAATCTAAGGAAGAAGAAAACTAGGCAAACAAACCAAAATCAAGATGTAAGATAACATAACCAGAGATCAGATCTCAGGAAAGAAAAAAAAAGACCTATTTTCCTCTAAACAACTAAAAGAAAAGTTCTGCTATGAGGAGAGAGGTATATGGAGGCACTTTTCCTATCCCCAGATGCTCACGCAGCCTTCTGTGACTGACACTAATGGGACTTCTACAGTCATGCATCTTTCTAGTTCCCACTTACTTGGACAGATGCGACTATACATTTCATCTTCTGTTGTCCAAGGTTCTCCTTGTTCCAACCTGGACAGTGCATCTGGTTTGCTGGCTTGATAACCTATTTACAGGAAATGATAGAAGAGTTAAGACACAACGAACGGGGCTGGTGTAGGCAACATGGATGAATGCTACACTCATGGAACAAAACTGTTTTCACATCTAAAATGTAGAGGCTTTTCTCTTATGAGAGGGTATAGTCAGCCCTTTCTTTCTGTGGGTTTCACTTGCAGTTTGAAAATATCTGATAAAACCCAAATAACAAATAACAATATTAAAATACGAAGTGATACAAATAAAAAATATAACAACTATTTATATAACATTTACATTTATTAAATATAATAAGTAACTTGTGGATGATTTAAAGTACTCAAAAGGATGTGTGTAAGTTATATGCAAATACTGTGCCATTTTATATCAGGACTTGAGTATCTGTGGATTTAGCAGCCATGGAAAGTCCTGGAACCAATTCCCCACAGATACCAAGAGGTGACTGTATATCTTTTTATCAGGAGACAGAGGATACACTACACATCTGCTCTTTGGAGCATAGCAGTGACTTCCAAATGGTTCAGAAAGCAAAGGCCATGGTCTGGGTGCCCTGTGAGTAATATGGGGCAACTCTCCTCACCGACTGACACCAGGTTGCTGTAATTCTCCAACATCACGTCCCAGTACAGGTCCTTCTGAGCAGGGCCCAGGAGCTGCCACTCCTGCCAGGTGAACTCCACCACTACATCCTCCAGGGTCAGCAATTCCTGTAAAAACACATCCTGCTTAATATGAAGTGTTTCTCTTTTATTGACATGGAAGGAATGTGAAAAAAGTTGTCTGCTCTTATAACCATAAAAACTGTATGTATCTATAAAACCTATTATATTGTTAATACATTGTCATAGAATCAATCTCCAAATATTCTATAATTATGCAGTGCCTCATTCCCTTAACAAAATATAAGGTATCCTCTCAGTAAAACCAGGTTTTATATATAATTTTTTTACTTTTTTTTTTTTTTTTTGACTGGGTCACTTCCAGCATATGCGGCCAGCGCTCTACCCTTTTGAGCCACAGGTGCTGCCCTTATATATAATTTTTAATTTCAGTATCTACTGACCAGTCAAGAAATTACATGCAAGTGTCATTCAGATACTATGTACATGATATAGATCTCTACATTCACTGCAATCCTTCCCAGGTAATGCTAGCATAAGACAGGAACAAACTCCAGATGCTAGAATCACTGGATATTGCATAAGTATTTACTTACTGAATGGGTTAAAAAATGGAAATACATAAAAAGCACAAGAAACAAAGAATATTAAACTGGGAGAAAATTATTCTTAAAAATACATACATGTGATAGATGTGTTGTTAACAGAAAGGTTTATCATATTAGATATACTGATACGACAAATAAGGAATTGGAATATAGATTAAAAAACTGAAAAATGAAACAGATAGTTGGTACAAACACATGTGCATATATAGATGCACAGACAGTTCAGTGATAGCAAATATATACTACTACAGTGTACATATATATATAGTGTATATATAGGAGATTAGGAAGGAAGGTATAAAGAGAAAATTTACTTTTTTTGCTAGTCTATGTACCATTAGAATTACTTTCCTTTAAAAATGTATACCTGAGGCTCAGAACCTGTAGCACAGTGGTTATGGCGCCAGCCACATACAATGATGGTGGTGGGTTCAAACCTGGCCCAGGCCAGCTAAACAACAATGACAACTGCAACAAAAAAATAGCTGGACAGGGCAGCGCCTGTGGCTCAAAAGAGTAGGGCGCAGGTTCCATAGGCCAGAGGTGGCGGGTTCAAACCCAGCCTGGGCCAAAAACTGCAAATAAATAAATAAATAAATAAATAAAATAGCTGGGCATTGTGGCAGGCACCTGTAATCCCAGCTGTTTGGGAGGCTGAGGCAAGAGAATTGCTTGAGCCTAAGAATTGCTGTGAGCTGTGAAGTTGCTGTGAGCTGTGATACCACCGCACTCTACCAAAGGCAACATAGTGAGACTCTGTCTCAAAAAAAAAGTATCCCTGAATAATTTCTGTAATTACAAAAAGAAAAGCAATAAAAGGAAAATAGGTAAGAATTACATTTGAAAATGGGGAGGAATTCTGTATTTTCTGAGATAAGGTTAAGTTATAAAGCAAATGACATGGCACCCAACAACTCAAGTCTTTGCCAGACAACATTTCTTGCAGCTCCCTAATGCCAAATCCGTACCTAAATGTCAGCTCAGTCACCTCTTCAGGACAGTTGAAAGCCATGCAATCCTTCCATTTTCCTAGGTTGTTTAGGTTTTATTCCTAGCTATACTCAGACATACACAAGGCTGAGTCCTTTGAGTGTCCTTGCTTTTGTCCCCTGAAAAATTGTACCCAGTTTTTACTTAGTCTATTCCCATAGGAGTCTCTGAGGAACCTTGTAATAGGTAGCAGTAAAAAAATCTACTGCCTTTATTAGCAAGCTAGTTCAAAACTATGTCTACCATATCATCTCTGGGAAGACTATCAAAAATTTTTTGAGACCTAAGTGCCAGGAAATATTGACATCCCCTGAGGAATCTGTCTGATTTCTCTTCACAGTCATTGTATATCATCTAGTTCAGCATGACCCTTGTATTGGCTGTCAGACACAAGCTGACAGCTAATATAATCCAACAGATTCTCTAGTCATTATGTTCCAACATCAGTAGGAGTCATATAAACACTATATTCCTGATCCTACTTTGCCATGATGTTAGATTTAGATTCAAAGTTTATTTCTCTTTATGCTCTGAACTGATTTCTTTTATGGGCCTCTACAAATCCATTAAAGAATAAAAGAGAGAACATAACACAGAGAAGTCACCTGGGCATTGCTCATTTTCTTCTGTTGTGGGATATGACCAGCAACTGGCTACTCTGTCTTTGTTTCTTTTGGATATGCCCAAAATCTCTGGTCAGAAACTCAGTCACTGGTCAAGGGTGTCCCCAGAAATGATGACATCTAGGTCCTGGAACCTCCTCTTTCTTCATTCATTTCTTGCCTCTCCCCAGGGTAGCCAGGACCTGTGAGCTAAAGAGCATAACAACTTTCAGGGATACATTCCCTCTTGCTGTTCATTCACCTTAATGCATGACCCAGAATATTTCTGTCTCTTTATTTGGTTCCTTCTGGCCAATGAAACAGAAGACCTTCAATGTATAGGAGGAATGCTTTTCTTCTGTGAAGCGTGAAAGTAGCATGAATGTGAAAGGGGATATGGCAAAGGAGAATGAGCACAACATCATGCCTCAGTGTAGTAATTTTAGAAATGAGACCATGACTGGTAAGGAATTGAATTTTTCCTTTAAATTATGTTACCCTCAGTTGGGCATAGTAGCTCATGCCTGTAATCCTACCACTTTGGGAGGTCAGAGTGGGTAGATTGCATGAGCTCAGGAGTTGGAGACCAGCCTAATCAAGAGTTGAGACTGCATCTCTACTAAAATAGAAAAATTAGCCAGGTGTTGTGGCAGATACCTGTAGTCCTAGCTACTTGGCAGGCTGAGGCAGGAAGATGGCTTAAGCTCAGGAGTTTGGGGTTGCTGTGAGCTAGGTAATGCCACAGCACTCTAGCCAGGGCGATAGAATCAGACTCTATCTCAAAAATAAATAAAATAAATAAATTATGTTACTCTTGTACCTCTTTAAAAGTATATATATATATATATGTTAAAATGTTAATACATAGTATACACACTGCAATATAAGGAACAATGAACGCACTGAATAAAAGAGGAGAAAGGAAAGAAAGAATATGAGGTATAAATACGATTCAAAAACATAAATGCTAGGAAAATAGCAGCCTTTAAAAAACCTAAAAGGAAACAGCCATTAAAAATATGTAGCAAACGTGCAAGAGAAAAGATAAAAGCAAACTCTAAAATAGAAAATATTAATTTTAGATGTGCTCAATTATTTAGCCCTCTTTTCTCCCCCACAAAAAAAAAAAGACCCTTTAATTTCTGTGGGTTCAAGAGGACGGGTTATTTTGTGCGGAGCCAAACAAGCTGAGAAAATCTGTCACGGAAGAAGAACGTGAACCTGAAGCTTTTAGGGAATGTTAACGTTCATCAACTCTGCTCCAGCAGCCTACCTCCGAGCTCAAAATACACACACACACCCCACCAGGCAGGGCTCCTACTCCAAGTCTTCAGCTTTCAATCATTTCTACACCATATTAATACGAAAACTTGGCCTAGATACACACGCATACACTCACTGACCTTTCCTAATGTTTCCTGGATCCACTGAATTCCCAATTACCCGGAATCCGAAACAGACGCTGCATTCGATGACAACCACCGTCCCACTAGTTCTCAATCACTGAGTCCTAAGGCAGAATGACCTGCAAAGACCTTAATCCCTGACTTCAGGACGTTTCTCGGTCGTTGATCTGTTCAAACCTTTAATCAGAGCCTCTCATGATTGACACCCCCAAGACACGCATCACAGAAATCCCACTACAGACTCCTACACGCTCCCCTCGCAAAACACCCACCCCCTGAGCTGCTTCCATCGCCTCGCACTAGCAAAAACCTACATAGACACCCTCAGATCGCACTTTCCCTCCGCCTTTTCCACAGACTGACCCACACACTGACCTGACCTTCTCGAACTGTAGCTCTTAAGTCTGAACTTTCTTCACTAAACTTCTTCCATCTAAGGTCTCCACGCCCAGCTAGCTGCTCTCCACTAACTCTCCGAGGAAAGTGCACCGCGTTTCTATGAGAACAGAATTCTGGCTTCCGGCTTTTCCTTCTGACGCAATGCTCCTGCGCCCGCCTCGCCTGGCCACTTTAGTAGCCGGAGTGTTTGCCGAGGCTGCTTTGGCGCCTGTGACCTGCGAGAGTCTGCTGAAACGGTCAATTCAGCATATCTAAAATTAATACATTCCAGGTCCATACCCTGGCGGAAAATGGAATGCTTGTCAGATTTTGAGTTCTCACGGAGCAAGCCCGGCGTGGGGATGAAGTACTGTGAACTGACAGGGCACAGAATAAGACGGTCGCCTTCTTAGTTTTCAAAGACAGGAGCCCATCACTACCACAGGCGTGACACACATTCTTAGTGGCCAGAACGGCTGCAACGTCCTAGCTCGGCAGGAAATTAAAATAACCTCCTGGGCACTTCAATCACTATTCTAGCTGGTGGCGCCTGCCTGAATTCCCAGCTCTCTGGGAGACACAGGTAGGTGGATTGCCTGAGCTCAGATGTTCAAAACCCGCCTGATCAAGAGCGAGACCCCATCTCTACTAAAAATAGAAAGACTAGCCAGGGCGTGTGGCGGGTGCCTGTAGTTCCATTACTTCGGAAGTTGAGGCAAGAAGATTGCTTGAGTCCAAGAGATTGAGGTTGCCGTGAGCTTTTACGCCATGGCACTCTACCCAGGGCGACAGAGTGAGACGGTCTCAAAAAAACAAACACACTATTTTAAGTGAGAAACGTTTTAGAGGCCGTATGAAAACTTAAGCTGGCAAAATATGTACCTACATTATAATAAGTGAGCGGTGCTCTAGCTAAGCTAGTGTTTTGTTAAGTGGGTGTGGTCACCTTAGTGGAAGTTCAGAGTTTCTACCGCAGAACAAATGTTTTGAGGAGACCTAGGAGTTGAACTGGCAAAGCCAATGCGTTTAGAAGAAAAACAAGGTATGGAAACGTGAGATGGTATGGGGGGTGCAGCAATCACAAAGTGAGCAGAAAAAGTGGACTTTGCGACCCATCTTTCCAGCCTCATCCCCACCATTTCTCTCACCTTGCCAGGATTATAAAACATGAATCCTAGGCAGCCACTGAACTGACCTCTGTTACCGTAGATTAGTCTGCATTGTATGAATAGAAAAGAACAATATGTACTCTTTTATCTGGCTTCCTTCACATAGCATAACTATTTTGAAATTCATCAGTTTTTATGTATTAATAGTCTGCGCCTTTTGTTGCTTAGTATTACACTGTATGGGTATTCCAAAATGTCTTGAATAATTCACCAATTGATGGACATTTGTGTTTCTTTTCATTTTTCTTTTCTTTTTTTGGACATTGCAAATACCTCTGTAAATATGTATGTGCAAAAAAATGAAAACAACCTTATGATTACCCACAGTCCTTTACTTCTAAACCAGCTCATCAAGAGGTCTTTGCCAGCCATTTCTAAGCAGCCATTTGTGTTTTTACCCAGATCCATCTCTTATTCTCCTGCTCCCTTCCTCCTATCCCAACCCTGAGCTTGAGGTTCACTCACTCACCCTGAGGAATCAGAGATCTTTAGAACACTAATGTAAGGTCTAGGTTTGCCTCTTGCTCACGTTATATGCATCGCATAGGCCATTATAATCCTCAAAATACACCTGATAGTCTTGTTTTTGAAAAATGCTTTATCGATAGGAATGTTCACAAAGATCAATCTCTGAGTCAAGTGAAATAGAGACAAACTATGAGAATAGAGCTATTCACAAAGTTGTCAGACAGGTTAAATGTGAAAATTATTGGGATAGGGACTTTGGGGATGTTTCAAAGCCATTCCTATCCCAAGTGGCTGCTAGAGTGTAGACTTTCACTGTTACTATAGTTAAAAGGTGGGTCTTTCAAGGCTATCTTGGAACTGAGGAGATGGGGATGGTATTAGGGCAAGTAAGAATGCCACAAGGCTCACATGTGGCTAGAAGAACGGAATTAATTGGTTTCTCTAGAAGGAAAACTAACTGGCTTAAAACTAGTCAGGGCCTCAATGCTAGGTCAGATCAGCACACACAAAAAATTATAGTACACTCCCTGTACTGTCTGATATAGCAGATTCCAACCGGCAGGCCCAACACAATTGCTCTCCTCTTCTAGGCAAGAAAAGATCTCTTTATTTCATCTTCCTCTCATCATATAAAAGATACTCTTGGCTCGGCGCCTGTGGCTCAAGCGGCTAAGGTGCCAGCCACATACAACTAAGGTGGCCGGTTCGAATCCCCAGCCCGGCCCGTCAAACAACAATGATGGCTGCAACCAAAAAATGGCCAGGTGTTGTGGTGGGCGCCTGTGGTCCCAGCTACTTGGGAGGCTGAGGCGGGAGACTCGCTTGAGCCCAGGAGTTGGAGGTTGCTGTGAGCGTGATGCCATGGCACTCTACCCAGGGGGATAGCTTGAGGCTCCGTCTCAAAAAAAAAAAAAGATACTCTTTGGGAACACTAATTCTATACATAACCCAGTTTAGGTCAAGCTTCACTCTTTGAAGATCTTGTTTTTACCACATCACTTCCACAGCCTTGAAATACTGAAAATTTCTCAGAAATTTGTGCTAATTCCTAGGGGTTTACATCATCAAAATCTCCTGTGTTCTCAACCCTTCTCCATAAAATTACACCTTGCCTTACATAAGCACAATTTAAAACTCAACTCAACCATTTCTAAGCAGCCATTTGTGTTTTTACGTAGATCCATCTCTTATTCTCCTGCTTATTACCAAAAGTATCTACTTTCACAGAAAAATTTCAGTTGGCGCATGTGACCTTTTTTCTTTTCTCTCTCTTTTTTGAAGATATTGTAAGAGTGAAAAGGACAGAGATACTTGGGCACTATATGGCAAACAATTTAATATCCTTTTATAATAATAATTATGAGGCCTCTCCTATCTTCCTCTTTTGCATATGTAGTGCCCTCCTCACTGGTCCTGCTCTGATCTCTCCCTTGCCCAACCTGCCCCAACAATTTACATTCTTTTCAATTTTAATTCGGATCAATTAGTTCTTCTGAGAATATACTCTAACTTCAACACCTAAATTTATTGTGATTTAAGGAGCGGTAAATCCACTTTTTTTTTGCCACAGAGTCTCACTCTGTTGCCCAGGCTAGAG